TTTTTTTTTTTTTTTTGGATAAGGTGAAGATTAAATCCCATCATAGAACTCTGCATGATTAATGTGACATGAATTCCTGCTTAAAACTATACATTATTAAGATGACTCCACTAATACAGTTTTTTATTTCCATTGAAAAACTACGTGTAGTTAATTCCTGCATAGCTCTTTTTAAAAAAAAAATGTAATACCCTATATAATTTCTGTTTTTATAACCAAGAAATCCCTTGGTTCGGAATTGTGGGGAGAATGGGCCTAGCCCTCTAACTTGGGGCAGTCCGGTGCACAAGGCATCCCGCGTTCATGTAGACAACCTACCCTAATGAAAGCCCTCTAACTTAGTTGGGGCAACCCGGTGCACAAGGCATCCCGCGTTCACGCAGGGTCCGGGAAGGGCCGCACCCCAATGGGTGTGATGTAGACAACCTACCCTACTGCAAGCCCTCTAACTTGCTCCCACTTAAATACCAGCGTCGTGTCGGTGGCAGGGTTCGAAATCATGACGTTCGCCCTATCCACTCAATCCATGTTACGTTTTTTTTTGGGTAGGTAATAAAAGATTTTATAATACTTGAACTAAGCCCGTGCGTTAGGTATAATTACAGGTTATGCAATCCCTATTACGTCTAGCATAGCATCTACATCATGTACAATAACCAGATTGCACCAAAAAGCTAACAAAAAAATACATCTCTGTTTAAGGCCGAGTGTTTCTCTTTTGCCTTCCAAAATTCCATGTTGCATCTTTACCGTTGAACCAAAGCCCTGGGGCCTGTAAGACCTATATAACTTATGAGGAAATTGCTGTCTTATTTTATACAGGATGTACGTGTATTAGCATTTTCATGATAGGCTTTGGTAATAACAATCCATTTATTGTAGTCCTTGCATAACTAGTCTCTCAACCAACCAACCAATGGTAATGCCTTTCATCATGTTGGATTGCTAGAAACAGTCTTCAAGCAGTAGAGCATCCATCAATCTTTCCTCTGGCTTTCTTAATTTCATTTTCAATTTGTAACTTCTATAACCTTTTGAATTAATGTCCTTGAAATCTTCACCTTTATCTCCTAATTCCTAGTTGTTTTCTTAGGTCTCTAATGACTCTCAAGGAAAGGGGATACTGGAGGAACTAGAAGCTGATGGTGTAGATTCGTCTTTTATCGTGGTGAGCCATCCAGACCTTCAATGCTTCTAGTGCTAGAAAAATGACAACTAGAAGGTTTTTCTGTGTTTTTGTAGTTTGTTTATATAATGGAAATGGTCCTGTACTTTTTTAAACAGTGAAATCGTGATTCTGCCTTTTTCTGTCCTCAGGCTTATTGCCATATACTCACCTCTAAGGGAAGTATTTAATTATTTATACCATATGTTTTTTAATTCCAGGTGTCTGATGGGGGCAATTCACCATTTACCTACATCATTGTTGACAACCAAACGTGAGTGCCTTTTGTTCTGTTTTCAGCCATTTCCAGACTGTTGATAGTGATTAGTTACGATTGCGAAGTAGTTGTCCTGACATGGATTTGCAGCGCTGAAGTTTATATCCAAGTGTTAGTTGTGACTTGTGAGTCCTGTCTAATGTTTTCTTTTAATTTCTATGTCAAAAAAATTCTATGATATACTATTTGCTGGGTGGCAGCTGCAAATTTTAGCGCTGTGCTATTGAAGAATCAAACTAAATTTCAAGTCTCTGAGTACTTATCAGAAGTCAAACAGCGCCATAACATGCCCATCTAAACCAAAATTCAATAGATAAATAATGAAAATATGCTGTGCTCTAACTTGTTCTAACTGCGTTGACTCTGATGTTTAGTTCCCTTAGTCAGTTTCTGGTCAGTAAATCTTCTCTATTGAGACACTGGGTTGAAATTACATCAAAAGTTTGACATGTTTAAAGATGGAGACTGACGTGTCTTGGATACTGCTTACTGCAGCATCTTTGCAGCTTGTATATCAACCAATCAATGAACTGTTCCTCAATCACGCTTATTGGGCTTGGTTATGAATTTTCCGTTGTGCTTCTGCTCTATTTGGACAGATTTAACTTCATTATTGGTAAACAATTTGTTTTTAACGGCAAATTAGGGGTTTTCTAATATTAGATGCTCTCTATATCTCAGATTTCCCTCCTAGACTGCCATACAAGTCTCTACCCGAACCGAGAACTTCAGGAAAATAACAGACGCAACATCAATGAATCTTAATCCCAACTAGTTTTTATCGCATAGTTGATCATTTTTCTTGGCAGCTTGCATGCTGATTGAATTTTACTGGGGAGGTTCTAGCATTAATTGTAGGAAAACAGGTTGCCTTTCTATTGAAGAACTACTTGTGTTTGATGTTTCAGGAAGACTCGCACTTGCATTCACACCCCTGGATATCCACCCATGATACCTACTGATCTTTCCCAATCAAATTTGTTGTCATCATTGGATGGTGCTAAGCTTGTCTATTTTGACGGGAGATTGCATGAAACTGCTGCTGTTGTAGCAGAGGAGGTATTTTCCTCTCACTTCTCTCTCCATCAAGCTTTCTGAGTTCTCAATACTATTCCTGAATCCAATACATTTAAAATGGAAATAAACTGCATGCTTTTGGATTTCCAGTGCAGGCAAATACAAGGGGTATACCCATTTTAATTGATGCTGAGAGGAAAAGAGAAGGATTAGATCACCTTTTGAGCTTCGCAAGCTATGTTGTTTGCTCAACCAAATTTCCTCAGGAAAGATATTCACTCTTATAAACTACATCTGTCTAGTTTTTTGGCTGCAAGCATATGTATGGAAGTATGTGAACATCTCTTGTCCTGCTTCTAGCCTGTCCCCTGCCTTTGAATGAGTTGGACAATCACTAATCTTCATAGAGAATAATTTTAGATTGGGATAGTTTCCTGTAGTTCCTCGTTAAATCTTTTTCATGGACCTTTAAAGGCCCTATGAATGTCCTCAACGTTATTAATATTACTCTACCAAATTCTTAGTCTAGCGCTCTATTTTTCACTATTCAGGGGCTTATCTTATCACAACAACAAACCCAGTAATTTTCCACAAGTGGAGTATGGGGAGGATAAGATGTACACTGCTTTACCCCTACCTGGAAAGGCAAAGAGATTGTTTCTGATAGACACTCGGCTGGAGAACGGATGAATAAAGTAATGACAACAAGCAGGAAAAACAACAAGATAAAAATAAGACCAAAGCCAAGAAAGCAGTTAAACTCTAGGTGGTAATAGCAATCTATGAATAAAAGGATATCATACTAACACTAATGCTAGCGAATTGAGTAGGACAAAGAGAAACGCTCAACTACCTGCTAGCCTTCTACCTTAATCCTCGACCTTCACACCTTCCTATCTAGGGTCATATCCTCAGTCAGCTCTAGCTGCTCCATGTCCCTCCTAACCGCCTCTCCCCAAGACTTCTTAGGCCTACCTCTACCCCTCCTGATACCAACTAAGGCTAACCTCTCACCCCTTTGCCCCTGCTTCTCCTCTTAACATGCCCGAACCATCTCAACCTCGTCTCCCGCGTCTTATCCTCCACAAGCGCCACTCCCACCTTATCCCGAATAACTTCATTCCTAATCTTACCTAACCTGGTAGAGTTCTTGACATGCCAACACTCTGCTCCATACGTCATAGTTGGTCTAACTACTACCTTGTAGAACTTACCTTTAAGTTTCAGTGGCCCATTCTTATCACACAAGACTTCGGAAGCGAGCCTCCTTTATGTAGCTTGAGAGTGGTCATGCTTTTGTGAAGCTCATATTATGGGACCGCTTAAAGAAAGTATGAAGAAGCTAGAGAAGAAATTCTAGAAAATTAACTGCAAAAACGGTAGAGAAAAGCTCCTTGAAAGGGAAGGGAATTATTCATGTTCTTTATGAAGAGAAGACTTTGATGAACATGGAGATGCCATGTGGAGACAAGAGGGGTTGCTCTGATGGTAAGCAACCTCCATTTCCAACCAAGAGGTTGTGAGTTCGAGTCACCCCAAGAGTAAGGTGGGGAGTTCTTGGAGGGAAGGATGCCGAGGGTCTATTTGGAAACAGCCTCTCTAACTCAGGGTAGAGGTAAGGTCTGCGTGCATACTACCCTCCCCAGACCCCACTAGTGGGATTATACTGGGTTGTTGTTGTTGTTGGAGATGCCATGTGGGGAACAGAGTAATTATAAGTGAGCACATTTATGCAAAAAGAATGAAGCTGAAAAGGTCTTTGCTTTTTTATGGTAATAATTGCAGTAAGGCTGTGATGAGCTATCTAAGAGATTTCAGCTTGTGACACCTCACTCCATTAGATGCCTCTACTTCCTTTGTGGTTGGAACTTGGTCAAGCATGTCCTCTGTAGTCTGCTCTTGACCAGGGTATTTAGGCCAGACTGCAGCTAGCCTTAGCTCAACTCTTTCAATATAAAGTCTTTCCAACTTCAGAATGAGATGAGAATTTGGTTCTATGTACGTGACAAAAATTTAGACTACTGCAACTGCAAGTGTCTCACAGCAACAACCTTTATGTTGGGTGTAGTGTTCACACATTTGGTTTTATGATATATAAAGGGCCATACTGGCTAAAAATTGTATGTCACACAGCATCTTAACCGTTCTCACTTACAAGCAAGTTTTGAGCTATTTTCATTCACATCAATTCTTTTTGTGATGCTCTGATAAGGAAATTGTATATTGATTGACTTGCAGGAATGGACTGATGCTTCTTCTATTCCAAGCGCCCTTCTTTCCATGCTCTTAAGATTGCCAAAAGTTAAATTTGTTATTGTGACGCTGGGTGAAGATGGTTGCTTAATGCTACAAAGGACAGAAATGGGTATTTGCGTGCTTTTTTTTCCTTCTCTTTTTTATCAACTAAAGACTGCAACTATTTTTATATTTTCTGCATCCTACAGAGACTTAAATGCTTTTGCAGACAATCAAGACCTGGAAGAAAGGGATGTCGACGATTTGTTTGAAAAGCTGAATCAGAAAAAAGACACTAACGCAACATCGCCAGCATGCATATCCTCGGTATTTACCTGTTCATCGTTTTCTGTAAAACAAGCAGTTATGGAGGAATCATGCAAAAGTAGGCACATGGAACCTTATTTTACAGTTAACTTATGGCCTCTTGGGCTCATTGATAACCTCTGTTATGATAGTCTTTATTCTAAACCATGGTATTATTTGTTTATCTTCTTGGCTAAAGAAAGTATCAGCACTTCTATTTCCTTTTACTTGCCTTTCAAACCAGCCTTTTTAACATGTACTTATTAAAGATGCACCCCCCCTTCCCCCCCCACACACATTCACATTTCTTGTTTGGATTTCTCAAGTTTCAAATATATATAAAATTGTTTATACGCCCTTTAACCCTTAAGACTGTATGCTCTTTGACTTTTCATCATTTGATCTTTTCAGTCAACGTTGAATGCAGTCAGGTGCTTCTTGTGCCAATGAAAGTGCTAATTAGAATTTTGTTTATCTGCTGGTCTTGCTATTTAAGATTTCACTTGCATGTAGATATGATTATGGTGTATTAGCTTCAGATTATATGTTTTTATGGCTGCAGAATGTGGCAAAGCTACATGCAAAAGGGATAGGGACAATCAGCGGTAAGTTACTTGTGGGAACAGCTGAAAGTATACCTCAGACAGAACTAGTTGATACAACTGGTGCTGGAGATGCATTCATTGGTGCAGTTCTTTATTGTATGTATTTATCCAACATAATCTATTTCGGTGTTGTCCCTTTTACTGTGATCCCATGGCCTTCCTACACGCTGTCTGAAATATGAGGGGTTGGATGTCCCTCAATTCTATTGATCTCCTTTCTTCTTGAAGTTAGATTCAATGCGTTAGAGGTTCCTTTAGTTTCTTGTTAAAGATCTCACCATCTTGGTCTCTTTATGTTTGCGCGCATCCATTTCCATTTGCTCTCTTATTGAAGTCTCATCTCATGACTCCTATATTATATCTTGCAGCTATCTGTGCCAACATGCCACCAGAGAAAATGTTGCCATTTGCTGCTCAAGTGGTTAGAAATCTTGTTTCTTTGGACTAGTTTTCTTCCCCTTTTGGTTCCTTTCCTCCATTAGCCTAGGAAGTCACGAGTTCAAGCCGTGGAAACAGCCTCTTGCAGAAATGCAAGTAAAGGTTGCACATGATAGACCCAATGTGGTCCGGCTCTTCTCCAAACCCCATGGTTAGCCGGAGGCTTCACTTTTCCTTCCCTTACTCCGAGAGTCTGGAGGTGTAACCGAGGCAACAAATGTCAGGAAAAACTAACCTGTGATTTGTGGGTGGATTGCAGGCAGCAATTAAATGCAGAGCCTTGGGAGCTAGAGCTGGTCTTCCGCATTACACAGACCCTCGCTTGACACCTTTTTTAGTCTAGAGAGCCCAAGGGATGGCCATGGTTCTACTGTTGTAGAAAATGGAAGCAAAACTGGTCATCGGCTTGGGCTTTTTCTTATTGTGTTTTTAACAGGGTTTCTGTGGACTGACATTCTGCTTCTTTTCTTACAGCATCTACCCTGAAATTTTATGGCAAAGGCTGAAATGTCCCCTCTATGTGTATAATTCGATGTTACGAGCTGCTCGAGTTTCTTTGATTGTCTGATGGGTTTGTTTGTTCTTGAGTCATAGTTCCTCATTTTATCCAATCAATTGCTAAAAGAAATTTCATAGGTGAAAGATCATAAATTGGAGACTAGTTATAAAAGTTTTCTTTATTCTTTAACATAATCTGTAAGTTTAACAAATTAAATACACTAGGTAGATGAATTGAAGGACCAAAAGTATAAAGAAGGTATGATAAAGGAATTCAAACTATATCTCTAAAAAGTACTTAGACTTCTCTATAACGACATCAGTATATAATAATTATTCACTATAAAAGTCAAGTTTTTTTCGGGATCGGTTCTTTTATTATGTTATAATACTTTTCATCTATAATTGCACTTTACTATAACTGCCAAAAAATATTAGACCAAACGACTTCTCTATCAACCTTATTTTCAACTATTTGATTTCTCTTTTCGATTAATGAATTAATATTTTTTTTAAACTTCATATCCAAATTTACTTTTTGATTAATGAATTAATACTTTTTTACTATTTCCATATAATATAGTAGTGAAATGTTAACATTTTAAATTTAGTGTTCAGTCAATCACGTCATATTATCAACAACAAGAAGAAAAAAAAACGAATTGGTTGGTTTCTTATGGACACTACAATCTGTATTAGTAGAACAAACCATAAGAATTGATGAAACACAGTAGCATTAGAGTAAGGAACTGAGGGATCCGAGAGGAGTTTAACTTTTGTGCATTGGCAATACATAATTTTACTCTATCATGTTAGGATTACCTACAACTACAAGTAATTTTCTATATTGATTTTTAGCTTAGTAATATAAAAATGCAGCAAACAACGTCATAACCACTATTTAACTACTAGTCTCTCCATATGCGCGTTGTGCGTATTATGCCATATTAATATTGTTTACCCTAGAAACTGGATAACAATTAAACTTATAATGTGATTTTAAGGATACGTGATTTCACCTAATACTAATTGATAAATATAAAGATTAGTAATGGAAATTGACAATAAAATAAGGCAAAACAGTGTCACAACGTAATTAAGCTCTTGAGCTCGGATATCCTCGAACTGGTCAATGTAAGAAGAGTAAAAAAAATATGACAAGCTGATAAACAAGAGAATGTAAATTAAAGAGAGAATATTGTATTGCTTTGATATGCATGAATGTGAAGTGTTTACAAAATGATTATAACCCTCTTTATATAGCAGATGAATCCTATCTATGGTATAATTCTAATTACGGAAGTAAATCCCTTGATTAGCCTAAACAATCGCCCTTGATTTGATTTGTTCCAGGATTTCTGCCATGATCTTTGTCTGGTTATGATATCTCGCTTTTTTGTTATTGCGCTTTGCTCGAAGTCTGTCATATTTGGTCTCGAGTGCTGCTGGCCTCGATCTTGACATGATACCTTATCTTTGTTCTCTATTTTGATCCATTACGAGGCTGGCCCTTGATGCAATTCCCTGGTCTCGATCAAATAGTAAAATCGGGTAGGCCCATTTTTAACCATATACAAATAGTCCCCTCGTTTCTTGGAACGTAATGAGAAGAAACGAATTGAGCCTTCGATTTTGTATCTCGATCTGTCATGACATCATCCTTGTTACGTAAGCGACGGAAGTGACCGAAATGTCCTATTGGTACAGTTCCCAAAATTATTAATGAGCGTCAGTTGGCGGTCGGCCACCAATGCCTTTGAACCATCACCATGAATCCCTTAAATAGGTCTTCTTCTCACTTCTTAAAACTTTGAATTTTTCTTGTACTAATCTTCAAAATCCCTTTGAGTTCTTCAAGTTTATCTGCAAATCTTCAAAGCTCTTTACATATTTTAAGACGTTCCGTTCTGCACAATCTCTAGGCCTCGTTATCACCTTCCCTCAAACCACCAAACCTTATCCTCTTCTTCTTTCTTTAAACTTACACAAAGATGGCGAAAACGTCAAAAATGTTCCATAAAAAGAGGGCGCTTCTTCATTGCGATCGGCCGGTGGAGCCACGCCCTGAGGAGTGCGTTCCCGAGGTGGGGTGTGATATTTCTTCCAACTTCAAAGTCGAGAAAACTTCATCTGTCCCTGGCCGGTGTGAGCCAATGTCGAGATACATGTGCTTGATAATTGAGAGTGACCTTGAGCGGGTCAAAAAAGATTGCCATTGGGAGAAGAAAGAGGTGGTGATTCCGACTCCCGAGGAAGATATCACTACCCACGTGAAAGAGTTTCTAAGTGTTTACACTTACCCTTTAACGCTGGGCCCTGTCGATCTTGTCATCATCGAATTCTGTCGCCAATACCAAATAACCCTAGGTCAGATCCACCCTTCCTTTTGGTGGATTGTGATTCTGTTCCGATTTTTCGCGAGCAAAGCCAAAGGGACCTCTTTCACCCTCGACCACCTCATCAGGCTGTACAAGCCCCATCTTTTTCGAGGTGGGTTAATAAAGCTTTAGCGTCGGGCCAACAAGGTGCTGTTCTCGAGCATAGACGAGGAAAAGGATCGAGGGTGGATGGGTCGGTTTGTTCGAGTGAAGACTTACAACTTAAATCCTTCCTTTAGCTTCTATTCAGTATTTTGTTTCCTTTACTCATCCTCATCGATATCCTTTTCCATGATGTAGCGGTCGCTTGGATGCCTGGTGCGATTCTGAACCTCGAAACCTGGGTTCGGACCCTAGATTCGACCTTCTCGTACGCTAAGCGCTCATGGCGCGACTTAGCAAGGGGCCGGTGGGAGGCCAAAAATCACGGTAAGCCTTTTCTTTACGTATTTGATGGCTTTTGTTAAAATGTTTCCCTCTTAGGCTTACTTGATTTCCTTTCATACAGGCCTCGGGAAAGATGCCGTCATGAGGCCCCCGTCCGGGGAGAAGGAGGTTTCGCCCCAGGTCCCGAAGCCGTCGAAGAAAAAGAAAAGAAAATGGGTCCTGCCCTCCGATACTCCAAAGCCCAAAAAGAGCAAGGCTCGCAGGTCGAAGAAAGACGTCGTCGTCCTTCTTGCTAATGTAGCTCAGCGACTAAGGGAGGAGAAAGAGGAAAATGAAGATGCTGGCTTCGAGCTAGTAGCCCGAACGAAGAGGAGTGCCGAGGCCCCAAAGGCCGCTGATCCAGTAATGATCGAAGAGGTTCAGCCTCGAACCGAGGAGATCTCGAAAGATGGCCCAAGCAAAGTCCCCGAGTCGTCAGAGGCTGAAGATGCCTCCCACCGCGATGAGCAGTCGACAGATTTGCCTGAAGGGGTTGGTTCCGAGGCCCTTCGAAACGAAGAGAATACCCCAAATGACTTGCTTGGGGCAATAGATATTGGTGATTCACCGACCCTCCCCATATTTTATGAGGGGCAAATTCAGGAAGCCCAGGACATGGGGACCCCCGCTATGGGAACAAACCACGAAGGGGAGGACCTTTTCCGTGGTTGCTTCACGGGAGTCAAAGATGCTACCGACATGGGTGATGCATTGAGTTTCTTCGATGAGGCTCAATGACTTCTGAGCTGGGTAAGCCTCAGCTCGCTCCATCAATATTACGCTTGTATTTATTTCTTCTTGCATGATTTCCTTTCTTTCTTCATAGGCTTTGATACTTCATCGGGAAGCATTCTCTAAGTACTGGACAGAGCTGATCCGGTGCGAGGACGATCATAAAAAGCTCACGGAGGAGAGAAATGCCCTCAAACTTCTCAGTGGGCAAAAAGAAGAGGAGATCAAGGAACTCCGAGCCGAACTGGCCACAACCCATAAAGAGAAGAACGACCTGATTGAGCAGTTAATGAAATTTTTTTAGAAGCTCGATGTATCAATTCGGGAATGACGACTAATACTTTGACCATGCAGGTTCAGCAGAAGTCCTAAAAGATCGAGCAACTTCATGAGGAGGCCAACATGATGAAGGCTAAGACTTTGGGGTGGAAGCAAAACATGGACCCCCTTGCTTCAGAGAAAGATACTGCTCGAGCCTAACTGTCATCGGCCGAACATCAACTCCAAATCATGAATGAGGAAAGCTTGGCCCGAGCCAAGAAAATTGAGGAGCTCGAGGCTCGGTTGGCCGCCGAACTTACAAAGACCGTATCTGAGGCAGGAAAAGTAAAGGCTGACGCAGAGGCAATCATGGCCATCTACCAAGCTGATGCCTAAGCTACTCAAGCTCGAGCAAAGGAAGTTGCTTATAAGGCTTTGACTCGATCATACTGGGTTGCCGAGCATGCCAAGTACTAGTCTCGAAGAGAGATTCTTAAGGAGATTTATGCTCGTGGCTTTAACCTTGCTGTCGATATCGAGAACGTGAAAGAACTTGAGGCCGAAGCCAAAGCGTTGCTCTCTTTCGATGATGATGATTCTGGGAGCGCGAGTGGATTTGAGAGTGGAGAGGATTCTGATGACGAAGACGCAGCTCCCAAAGAAAATTAGGCACTTAGGATTTTGCCTTTTTTTGAATTTTTTCTGTAGGATCCTGACCGATCCATGTAAATAATTTCATATATATATATATATNATTATGACAATTTTGATACACTTTATACCTTGCGAGAATCTTGACTCACTTCGTGCCTTGTGAAAATTTTGTTTGTGAATCCGAAACTTAGGCGACTTGATCAAAATCAGACTAATATAGTCTCTATAATCGATGAGTATTTGCTCGAACTCAAAGTGAGGGTGGATTCTCGAACTCAAAAATATAATGGCCCTTAGGCTCTTGAATTGGGACGATATGGACTCAAAAGAATGGCTTTCCCCCCTTTTCGGCTTAAAAAGTTTAATCATATAAGAATTTGTTATGCCTTAACACAAGATAAATCTGTACCCATTAGGATTTTCGAGGGTTAGTGTTATCGAAAACCTTTACTTTGTTATGCCTTAGTGTAAGCTTGTTCGAGAGTTTGAACAATTTGGTACCCCTTAAGGTTTTTGAGGGTTGATGTTATCGAAACCCTTTGTAATTTTGCCGAGAGTAGCCCTTTTAACCGGTTTTGTAAAAATATTAGAAGGCATATTTTGTTACGGAATTAGGACG